ATTGGTTTATTTTTACTTGTTTATATGAATTGTCTTTATCTCTATCCTGTGCGTATTTATATTCTCTTTATTAGAATTGATCAATCTGATAGTTGAGGATAGGTTGAGGGTTAGAACCCTAAATAGGAATATTGGGGTTTTCATCCTGAAAGGGGGTAAGATAACAATTCTTATGCATGCTAGGAATAGATGTATATCTAATTGCAGATGCTTGAATTATCGTGTTCATTGCTTAATTCTCATGAGGGGTTACTAAGGGATTAGGATTCCAATTGAGATTAAAGGGTTAAATTGCCAAGGGATTGGAATTTAACTAATTAATTCTAGAAGATAATTATCTGAGTATTAATATAAATAAGTATTTTTAAATCAATCCAAAGTAAGAAGTGGGGATCATAAGGTGTGTGCGCTCTAGCTACAATGCTTTTCTCACATTTACAAAAATCAATTCTCAGTTTATTGTTCTATTTCTTATAAACAAAATTACAAACACAAGTCTTTATTTTTAGTTCTCACTTTTACACAAATTGACAATATTTGTCAAAAACCATTTGAACTCTTCCATTCTTGAAAGGAACAATTAATTGATATACGATCACAATCCCTATGGAGACGATACTCTACTCACTTTCTATATTACTTGTGCGATCGGTATACTTGCCGGAGAGCATCAAAAACTTTTCTCATTCTTAATTAAAATTAAAGTTTCTCCAATTTGGGGGTATGAGAGAATAAATGTTGGGTGAAAAGTTGTTGGGTGAAAAGTATATTATGATGAAGAACGTTCTAGTTCAGTAAGAGAAAACACTGGTGTTCTCTTACTTTCAACCCAAGTTCGCAAGTGCACGCATCAAGTAATAAAGGGACTATTAGTGCCCAGATTATCGTTCCCACGAGGATAGAACTCTAAGTAATGCCTTAAACTGTTTTAGAAAGAGTGAAAATGAAAATAAAAGTTAGTAATTGACCTGTCTGGTCAAACGTTCCCTACTGTCTTGACAACGTTCCTCAAGAACAGTAGGTTCAATCTGACAGCAAACAGTTCATCGCTTCGTTATATATGATATCCTTCTTGTTGAGAGAAGGAACAACAATATTCATGAGAGGTTTATAGATACAAGATTAAATAAAGAGAAAAAAATACAAATAGTAATAACAGTAATTAAGAGACAACAGTGTGGATGGTTTAAAACAGTTTTAACAGAAGGAACGGATCCACTGCTTCATCCTTAAATAGTTATTTTCTCTACTCAAGACTTAACACTTTTGTCTTTGTTCCAGTCTCTTCACTGCCAACGTCTGATTTCTCAGCTTATGGACTAAATGGCTCACAAGTTTCCATATTCCTATGGCTCCCTTGACTTTAACAATTACTTAGCACAGGACCTTCAAATGAATGAGGTGTTCCATTATTCCTAAGGCAACCAGCAAACAACACTGCCTTTCCCCTCTGGTTAAGCTGTCTGAAATCCCTTCCTTATGGAAATTCCTTTCTCAGTATGTGTTTAATTTCCATTGATACACAATAAATATAGTTTACTTAACCAGAGAAATACAAAAGCTTAGTACAAAAGTTTTGAAAATAATTCTTTAAGAACTTTGCAGTTTTTCCGTTCCACAGATAGATTAGCCCATGGCTACTACTTTAAACATAATTATTCCAAACTGAAATACCATAGACCTGAGATTCAGTTCAGAGATAACGAGTGGAAAGGAGAGAAATAACACTTATATTTAAATGGAAAAACTTAGGTTACAATAAAATGAAAAGTGGAGAAGATGATTGTTGCTCGTGAGGAGTCTCAAGTGAGTGATACAAAATAGAGAAGAAGTGTTGTCACTTAACTACAACTAAAACTATACAAAAGAGAAAAAAAACTACAAAATAAACTAAGTGATCTCTTCTTAAAGAATTCAATTATGTTCTTCGTGCTGGAACGTCTTATTTATAGGCAGAAGAGTGAGTGGCAAAGTGTGTAATTCCCTTGGAGTTGTTTTCTTGACTACACGAAAGAGGCGGTGTGAACAGTGCTTTGATGGACGCAAGTGGCTGGATGGGACAGTTATTGTTGAGATTTGTCTTTCCTTCTGACCTTACCCATGCCTTGCTTTCCTCTTTAGCCAATAGGAACCGTTTATTCTCTGGTGCACACATTTCCTCTTGCTTGATTGCTGCACCGCTTATGCTTTATGGAAACTTCTTTTCAACGTTTCCTGAAAAGTGGTCAGAGAGATTGAGTGAGTGAAACAGGTGTATTTAATGTTCCCAATCCGTTTCCCTTTTTATATATTTTTCAAAGGATTACGTCACCATCCGTTTCCCACTGTGTTTTTGTCATAAAGATATTAAACATGTGCTTTTAGTGCTAAAGTTGCTCGTCAGATGAGGGAACAGATGGTATTTTGCCATCAAAATGGGCTTAGATGAGAACGATTTTTCGTCACATCAATAAATATAGAAAATTATAACTCTCAAACAAGAGGAAGAGAATACCCTTTATTTTCCTTTCTTTCCTTCCCCTTTCTTCCCTTCTCTTCCAAATAAGGGTGTAAATAGGCTAGGCTAAGTTAAGGTTTGACTTAAATAGGTCAGGCCTATGTAAAACATTTAGGTCTGGCCTAGGCTGTTAGCCTTTGTAGGCCTAAATTACAAGTCTGGGCTGACCTAGGGTTGGCAAAAACAAGCCAACCCGTCAGGTTGGCTCGTAACCCATAAAAAATGAGCCGGGTTGGTTTGGAAAAAACGAGCTGCCAACCCGACCCGAGTCAACTAAAAAAAACGAGCCAACCCGCGAGTTAAATGAGCCAGCTCGCGGGTTGAGGTTTTTTTTAATAAAAAATACAAAATATAGTATACAAAAATGGACAAAACCCACACATGCTGTCATTGTCTTTCTTTCTTCTCTAAACCTAAGTCCCTAATCTTCTCACATCCCTGCCATTTTTATATTGTTAGGTTGTGCTGGCTCTGTTTGGTTCAAATATCTTACCCATTTGGTAGCAAGTGGTTCTGATTGTTTCTTGATGTTGGTACAAATTTGTTGTGAAGAAAATTCAAAACTATAATATTTTACTTTTATTTCTCATTTTGTAACCTTTTGTTTAAGCTGATGGAAGCCACATAGTTGGTGCATTAATACTACAGATTCATTTAAATAGGCTGAAAACGAGTCAATCCGCGAGCAATTTTAGAGCCAATTCGCGAGCTAGTTTTGCAAGCCAACCCACGAGCCATATTTTTGAGCCAACCCGCGAGCCAACCCTAACCCGACTCGGGTCGAGTTAGGTTGGGTTTTCTGGCTCTTTTTTTTTACGAGTCAACCCTAACCCGGCTCTTTTTTTGGGTTGCATGCGGGTTGGGCTGGGTCGAGTCGGGTTGGCCCGTTTTGCCAACCCTAGACTGACCTATATTTAAAAAAAAAAAAAGCCTTGACATAGGCCTGTTAGCCTGTTTAACCTTATTAAACATTCCATAATTGAAAAAATAACTAAAATTATATTACTTTATTATTCAAAATTATTAAAGTAATAATTTCATTTATTTTATTTAAAATAAATAAAATGATATAGGTTGGTATATAGGCTTATAAGTCTTACATGTACAAAAAAACCTATGACTTGCTTTCTAAATAGATTTTTTTAAAAGCATAGGCCTGCTCTATTTGCTATTTGTTATAGGCCAAGTCTGGCCTAATATAGGATAGGCAGTAGGCCCCTGTAGACCGGCCTAGCCCATTTACACCCATACTTCAAACACCTGAGTAAGGGCATTTTGCTCTATTATTATCCTAGATGTGTACACAATTTTATTACTCCACCCAATGTTATTGTCTGGTCATTGACCCGGTTAAGGTATCGGGTTATTGAGTCATTGATTCAACCGCATGATTAAGTGATTATATGTAAATTTATAATTTATATTAAAAAAAATTATAAACATACTCAAATAGTTGAAAAAAATAATATAAATTCTAAATATTTTAATATAAAAAATAATAATTTACATATTATTGTCAATCAAATAAAGAATCAAACAAACATATAATGTTTCAGATTCAGTAAACAACATCTCTAACTATAAATCAAATTAAATTTTTTTTGCATAGTTCATAACTGAGATAATATTAGTATTGTAGGTACATAATCTATGTAAGTCAATAAGTAACCGATCTCTCAAATATGTCAATTATGATTTTTTTTGGTTAAATAAATTGAGTCGGGTCACCGGTTAATTGACCGGGTCATCAATTTTCACCAAAATCGGCAGGGTCGCACCAGGTCCAATGCATGTTCAATCCATTGCTTCACTCGAATCTATTATATAATCAATTTATCAGTTTTCAGATCGATCCAACCGGACCGATCCAGATTTATTAACAATGACTCCACCCCGTAGTCATAGACAGCCAGAAGATGTTTACACTAAATATTTATGCATACAAGAATTTAATACAAGAATTTAATACAAGAATTCACGTTACGTTTATTTTCAAATTATAAAAGATAAACAAGACTTATTCAATATCTTTATATAATTTAATATTTTATTAAAAATATAATGTACATTAAATTAACATTTTTGAAGTGAAAAGCCAATCCAATAATTATTAAATCAGGCCTCTTTTTTATATTTAAAATTTTGAGTAAAACCCCTTTTGGATCCCTAACAAAATAATACGGCCTTCACTCTTTTTCCTTAAAAAAAAAAGTTAATTTTTGATCCCTCTACAATTTTAATTTTTTAAAAATGTGATCTATCAGAAATTCAAGAAAAATTTAATTTTGTCCCAAAAAAAAAAGACTAATATAAATATATTTTTCTTGTAAGGAGCGAAAAATGAGGAACATCTTTTTTATTAGTAACCCAAAAAGACTTTCCTCAAAAAAGCAGGACAACTACAAAAAAGAAGAAGAAGAAAAGAAATAAAAATAAAATAAAAATAAAAAACCTAAAGCAAGGTGTCTCTCGTCTCACTCTATATTATCCAATTCACTGAACAGAGCCATATAAGAAGAAGTAATAGATAGATAGATAGCACATAACACAGCTTTAGAGAGAGCAGCAACAATGGCACTGCTGTGTGGTACAGCTTCGGTGAAGTTTCCTTCATCTTCATTCACTCCTCACAAAAATGCAACAGCTAAATCATCCTTTGTTGGCTTCCAATTGCCACTTTCAAAGCTTTCATTATCTTCTTCTTCTTCTGTTCGGACCCATTTCCCTGCAACTTTCCGTGTCCGTTCTCAGCAAGAGGATTCTTCCCTAGTCACACAAGATCCACGCTTCATGTGCGTTGAACCCGAACCCCGATTCAAAGGCCCGGTACAATCCCTCTTCTATTTTTCCTTTTTTGATAATGGGTTTTGTTTATTAGCCTTTATTTGCTAACTCACATAGCGTTATGGATAATTTTTCTCAAATTCTTTGTTAACGCATTACTTGGTATCCAAAAAGTAGCATGAGGAATGCAAAATCTTCAATTTTCATTTTCTAAGTTTCGAATTTTAGTGCTTATTAAATTTCAGTGTTATGAAGGAATGGAACTAGGATATGAAGTTATAGGAATTGAGCTTTGTTGTCTTCTGATTTGGGATTAGTAGTATTCATTTGTTGTTATTGAAGTAAATTAAATGTAGATTGGCATGAGTATTAGTAATTTATGCCTATATTTTCTTCTCTCACTAGCCTATATAGTTTGGGAATGCATAGGGGATTTCTTCTTCTCTATTTTTTTTTTTAATTTCTTATTTTAGTTTTGTTTTGCATTATATAATATCAACTTTACCCGGCCATTAGAAATTTAAAGTGCTTTAAATGTTTATTTCGGAGTTCACATTGAATAAACAAAGTCCAAAAATGTATCCGGGTGTTTGTTATGAATTTTAAATAAAGAAATTATGAGCATCTAAATGCAATTTCTGTATTTCTTCTATTATGTATTTGTGGATTATTTAATGAACTTTAAACTCCCCAACCAAAAAAATAATAATTACAGGACATTTGGAACAAGACCTATTATCCAAAAGCTGCAGATCATGTGATTCATGAGAAAACATGGTATGTTGTTGATGCTACTGATAAAATTCTTGGAAGACTAGCATCAACAATTGCTATTCACATCAGAGGGAAAAATTTAGTGACCTATACTCCCAGTGTGGACATGGGTGCGTTTGTAATTGTGGTATGTATTTCTTCATAACTTATTTGTTTGGTAGTGTACCGCATTTATCGATATCGTTATGGTTGGCATTCTCTAGAAGTAGCTCCTTTGTGATTGAAATATCATGGGTTCATATCTGGAATATGCAAGGGCAATACTGCGTACATGGATTACCTTCACCCATCTTCGCTAGTCGGGTTTAATGGGGAGTGGTTTTTTATTATGGATGGCATTCTTTGTCTTTTTGCTATTGGCAATGGAAACTTTCATGGTTTGTTATTTATGCTAAAATGACCTTATGCATTACAATGTGCATCACAGCAGTCAATCTCTCCTCGGAACACCTTTCTCTATTACTCTTTCTTCTGGTTAGAATGGAAAGAACCCCCTCCAACTATATGCTATTTTCAAAATAACCCCCCGTATGATTCAAAACTCAACAACTTGACCGCCTTAACTTACCAAATCATTCAAGGTCATATAAAATTAACCCCTATGCATGTACAGAAGCCCCCATATAGGGAGACGGTTTTTACAGTTTGATAAGTTAAAGGATTTGAGTTGTTGAGTTTTAAACTACATTGAGGTTTTCTGAAATTAACCTATAGTTGAAGTGAGTTTCCTGCATTTAAGCCTTTCCATGAAAATGGAGTAGAAACTCCGTAGATATAGTCATATTGTTCTTAACTTCATTTTTGTGATAATATCCTATTTGATGAAGAACCTTGGATTACATTTAAGATTTCTTTATGTTGATTATCAACATAATCTGTAGTTTACATGATGTTTGGAGATGTCTTAATTAAGCAGCCTTGAATCTAGTTAGGTATGAATATCTGTCATGTTTTTCGCATCATATTTGGTAGCTACAAGAAACATTATTCTTTTACTTAGTCCACAATATGTAAATATGAAGGTAAGGGACTCTTCTTCAATTTACTGTCTATAGATTGTAAGGAAATTTTAATGTGTTTGAAGTTAGTTTGCATTATAAGCATGAGGACGAGTTATGATCTGTGATGAAACCTCAATTAATGGAACTGTCATTACAAGCAAATTAAGATGGAGACAAGCTCCTTACAGCCCCTATCTAATGGAATTACTACTGTTATGGCTGATACAGCCTTGGAATTACAATGAAAGAAATAACCAGAGACTCCAAAAGTACCCTTTACCCACCAATTTCCCCAAACAAATCAAGACAAGCATACTCTATCGATTCCCCCTCTTGTTATCCCATCCTCCAAGAATATTCTCAACAAATCCTCCCTAACTAACTCTCTTCCTTTTCTCTCTCCTTAACCATCCTCAATCTGTTATTACCTTTATTCACATACTTCAGGCCCATTATAATCCAAAGATAATTTCTGATTTTCCAATATGCAAATTTGAAGATAGGAATGTTGTTTATATTCTTTTCTCGTGTTCTTATTGGCATGTATGGCTAAGAATATGTTTTATGATATACAAAGTTACATGATTGCTATGCATAATCTTTATTATTTAACTTGGAGTTCTAAAGGTAAATGCAGAAAAGGTTGCTGTAAGTGGGAAAAAGAGGACCCAAAAGCTTTATAGGAGGCACTCGGGACGACCTGGTGGTATGAAAGTGGAGACATTTTCCCAGCTACAGAACAGAATTCCTGAAAGAATTGTTGAACATGCTGTTCGTGGCATGCTTCCAAAAGGGAGGGTAGGTTCAACTATAGTTGAATATTTTTCTAAGACACGCTCATATCAGAAGTAGAGATATTTAACTGGATTGTTGATGCATGGTAATTGTAGAGAAGCTGATATAATTCTAAATTTTGTGATTAATTTTCATGACATATTGTCGCATAGGCAAGATTCATCTCCATAACTGATGGCAGAATATAGTTGTGAAGAATGAAGTGAAATCCTTCACAATTGTAAATTAGCTTAAGAATTTAAATTCTGTTTTGAAAGGAATGCTGAGATTTTTAAAGGATCATCTACACTTATGGTCATGCTTTGGGACATATCCTCTTTTTGTTCTGTTCAGCACATGGGTCCATCTTGTGGTGCTTCCTTGATAATTTTTCAGAAGGACTAGAAAACTCTTGTATTCATGGTTAATAGTTTTTGCTAGGATTTTGTTGGTGATTGTATATTCTAAGGATGGTTCTTTATCCTCATAATATTTCATCTGTTCTTTGAATAATTTTTTTAACAAAAAGAATATTTCTCAGTAATTGAATATACAATAATCAAGGGTTGGTGTATGCAGCTTGGCAGGAAACTATTCACCCACCTGAAGGTTTATAAGGGCCCAGATCATCCACATGCAGCGCAGAAGCCCATTGACTTGCCAATAAGGGATAAGAGAATACAGTTGGACAGATAGGTCATATATGTACCAGAAAAAATGGAATGATATATGAAAAACATAGATCATTGTCTGATGCATTCCACAGAACTTTTGAGTTTCTTGCTCTAGCTGCTAGCTTGCTGATGTAGGTTTGAATCTTGGACTGCAATATTTTTTTAATATGCTTTTTATTGGCAACTTTTTCATTTGAAGGAAATCTTCCATCCCTTTTCCTTTTCCTCTTCAGTCCCTTACACCACCAAAATGAAAAAAAGAAAAAGAATAAAATAAAAGAAAGACCAAAGGGGAGGTTGTCTTACCCATGTCAAGGAGTTCTTTTTTTTTAAAAAAAAAAAAAAATAATCTTAAGTATCCGATTATGATATTGTTCTTTTATAGATGCAAGTCTGGTTCATTTCAAATAGCACTATAGCTAGTTTTACCAGAACTGAGGTAACTAACCCACGATAATAACACAAAAATATAGATTCAAATCATGTCCAAGTTTTCTTTCTATATCTAGCGCTGTGAGGCAATTAATGATCCTGAGGCAAACATGAATATCGCTTCGGTGGAGGGATTCATTTTTTCATTTATTAACATAAAATTGGAAGTTGACCGCTACAGTTGACTATCTTTAAAACATCCTATCTCTGCAACAAAGGCAAAGTCTGTTAAGCCAGGCCAAATCAGCTCTCCTTGCCATTTGGTCACAGTAAACATTATCAAATAGACAAGCTTTGATAGCTGGTGTAGCATGTCTTCACTACATTGCAGGTAAGGTATCTCTCCTTTGGAGTTGCAGCAAGAAGTGCTTATTCATAGGCTAAATGTTATAATCGATGGCAATGGTGCAACTTTTTATTATCTTTAAAAAATTTAGAATCGCATCAAGCGTTACAGGAGTCATGAAGCAGGATGTCAAGTCACCTGGGGGTTTTGAAACCATTACTTTACTATTCTTTGCCCCAAGGTGGGATCCCTCCTTACCTTTATGATGGAAAAAAAAAAAATGACTTCAGCTCTTTGTCAAATGAACACATGTCAAAGTCTTTCTAGAAATATGTTTTGACAAATGAAAATGAGATACTTGAGATAAGCTGCTGGAAACCATGTTGTATAATGTCTCATGTCTACCTGAAGAATACAACGTGCTGATTCATGGAGTTATATTGTTACTGATATTTCACATGAAATTATATTGATGTTTATGTCAATAAAGTAAATTTTTTTAAAAAATATGGTGAATTAATTACAATGCAATTCATTATTACAAATTCAAAATTTATTTTTTGCTTGGGTAGTGCACTTTTAAAAATTAAATATATAGAGCATGTTTTCTTAATAAGACCTTTTTATTGTGTCATTCGAAATTTTAGCCAACTTTTATTTATAGTTTTTTCAAACTTTTCTTAATAAGATATTAATAGTGGGAGTTTATTTAAATTAGAAAACCTCAAAAATAAAGTTTTTTGATTAATTGAAAACAAATTAGTGAGAAAAAGGTCTAATGATACTCTCTCTTTTTTCATTCTCTTACTCTATATAAAAGGGGCAGTTATGCTTAATACTGAAAACTTCTATTACTCTTATTACTAAATCAATTATCGTTAAATTCTGTTAATTTAATGGTTATAATTTTTTGCATCACACTTATTAGTTAATCATTAATTCTAAAAAATTATAATTATTATATTGACAGAAATCAACGATGAATAATTTAGTAGTAAAAGTTTTCGGTAATAAGTATAATCGATCTCCTACATAAATAGGTAAATAACATTGTGCATATTAAATTTTTTATTAGTATATTATTTCAGATATGTTTGTTAGAAATATTAAATTTTACATTAAAAAATTTAATGTAAAAGCTACTCCTAAATTAAAGATAAAAATAAAGTTTAAAGCTATTTAGTAATTATGTAAGGTTGTTCTCAGGATTTTAAAAAAGGGAGATAATATTAGTAAAAAAAAAAGGGAGATAGAATTATTTATTATTAGGATATATTATTAGGAAAAAAATACAAAATTTATAAATATAAATTTAGAATAAAAGTAAAATTGAAAAATAAATATAAGAGCTAAAAAAACTGACAAATATCTTAAAAACTTCTCTGGAGAGTTTTTAGATTTTTCTTTTTTCATTATAATTTTTTATGATACGAAACTTTATAAATATATATAAATATATATTTGACCAAACTTTTCCTTACCAGAAAAAGAGGAGCTGAAAAAAACATTCAACGGTTATTTTTCAGCCGGACACTGCAATTGAACTAATTTGATTCCTATGAATTCGTGTAAATTATTTTCACAAAATAATCATTTTTTATATGATAAATTTTTGGAGGAATTTTTTTTATAAATATATATATATATATATATATATATATATATATATATATATATATATTTATAAATAAGTTAAAACAAATATGTCTTTGAACATTTACCGGTCACTTACTCATCATTCACTGGATAACTAGCACACCTATAACATGTTTGAAGACAATTATTTTTCACCCAATGGGTGCAGGTCAGTTGGTAACTTGGCGCTGAGTTAGTGGGGTTAGATATGTGTTCGATTCCCGCTGAATGCATTCTTGGGGAGGGGGCTGAACCTTTAGCCATCACTGTTCCCCGCACTCCGGATTAGTCTCATAGCCGGCTCAAAGAGTCGAAGCTCGTGGGATACCGTGGAAATACCGGAGGGAGCCAACTCGTCTCAAAGAGATAATTAGGGTTGCGTAACTCCAAAAAAAAAAAGACAGTTATTTTTCAAAAAAATTATTAGAAAATTATACAAAAAAAAGAAAAAGAAAATAAAATTAAAGCACATTCCTAAATAAAAGGATTATCATGTGTTGGATCATTTTGAATTTGAGTGAAAAAAAAAACACGAAACTCATCGATTGAAGTTAAGTTAGTTGTTACGTTACGTGAAGAACAAAGTGCAACAGCAATAGCATGTTGTCAACATTCAAAGCTACTCTAAAGTTTTGGAACATCAATTTCTTGCCAAACACTACTCTCCAACGTGCAACTATACAAAACACTTCTCGTAGCGCAATAGATTCACAAACCACCTTTGTTTTAAGCTCACAATGCTTCCAAAGCTTCACAAAGCTCTTATCGCAGTGTGTTGTTTCCAAGTCTCTGACTTCAGGCATGGAACTCCATGCCCACTTGATCAAGTTTGGGATTTCCCACGACCCAAGTCTCAGGAATCATTTGGTGACTCTGTATTCCAAGTGTCGCTGTTTTGGGTATGCACGCAAGTTGATTGATGAAAGTACTGAACCAGATTTGGTTTCTTGGTCTGCTTTGATATCTGGGTATGCACAAAATGGGCTTGGGGAGGAAGCCCTTTTGGCATTTAATGAGATGTCCCTGTTGGGTGCTAAGTGTAATGAGTTTACCTTCCCAAGTGTTCTTAAGGCATGCTCAATCAAGAAGGATTTGAATATGGGGAAGAAGGTTCATGGCATGACTGTGGTATCAGGATTTGAGTCTGATGGGTTTGTTGCTAATACTTTGGTTGTTATGTATGCCAAATGCGGGCAGCTTGGTGATTCTAGGAAATTGTTTGGCACGATTGTGGACCGAAATGTTGTTTCGTGGAATGCCTTGTTCTCTTGTTATGGGCAAAGTGATTTCTATGTTGAAGTGGTGGATTTGTTCAAAGAAATGGTTCAGAGTGGTGTGAGGCCTAATGAATTCAGCCTTTCCATCATACTGAATGCCTGTGCAGGATTGCGGGATGGAAATGTGGGAAGGATGGTTCATGGTCTTTTGCTGAAGCTAGGGCATGATTTTGATCAATTTTCTGCAAATGCGTTAGTTGACATGTATTCAAAGGCAGGGGTGATTGAAGATGCAGTTGCTGTTTTTCATGAAATTATGCACCCTGATATTGTTTCTTGGAATGCAGTTATAGCTGGTTGTGTTCTTCACGAGTGTAATGATTGGGCTTTGATACTGTTGGATGAGATGAAAAGCTCAGGAACTTGTCCCAATATGTTTACTGTATCAAGTGCTTTAAAGGCCTGTGCTGCAATGGGGTTCAAGGAGTTGGGTAGACAGTTACATTCTAGTTTGATAAAGATGGATACTGAGTCAGATTCATTTGTTGCTGTTGGACTGATTGATATGTATTCCAAGTGTGAAATGATGGATGATGCTAGAAGAGCCTATGATTTGATGCCAAAGAAGGACATTATCACTTGGAACGCATTGATCTCTGGTTACTCACAGTGTCGTGATGACTTAGAAGCAGTCTCACTTTTTTCTGAAATGTACAATAAAAATATAGATTTCAACCAAACTACGTTGTCAACAGTTCTCAAATCAGTGGCCAGCTTGCAGGCAATTAATGTATGCAAGCAAATTCATACAGTTTCCATCAAATCTGGAATTTGTTCAGATTTCTATGTTATAAATAGTCTTCTTGACACTTATGGAAAATGTCGCCATATAGATGAAGCTTCAAAAATTTTTGAAGAGCGCACTTGCGAAGATTTGGTGGCTTTTACATCCATGATAACAGCATATTCTCAATATGGGGATGGAGAGGAGGCTTTAAAGCTATATTTGCAAATGCAAGATGCCGATGTCAAGCCAGATCCATTTGTCTGCAGTTCTCTTTTAAATGTTTGCGCAAATTTGTCTGCATATGAACAAGGAAAACAATTACATGTCCATGCCGTCAAGTTTGGTTTTATGTCTGATATTTTTGCCAGCAATTCACTGGTTAATATGTATGCAAAATGTGGAAGCATAGAGGATGCTGATTGTGCCTTCTCCGAGATACCTAAGAGAGGAATTGTCTCATGGTCTGCAATGATTGGAGGGTTGGCTCAGCATGGCCATGGTAAAAAGGCTCTTCAGTTGTTCAATCAAATGCTTAAAGATGGTGTACCTCCCAATCATATTACTTTAGTGAGTGTTCTTTGTGCATGTAATCATGCTGGTTTGGTAAATGAGGGAAAACGATATTTTGAAACAATGGAGGAAGTATTTGGGATTAAACCCACGCAAGAGCATTATGCTTGCATGATTGATCTCCTCGGACGATCAGGGAAACTAAATGAAGCAGTGGATCTTGTAAATTCCATTCCATTTGAAGCTGATAGCTCAATTTGGGGGGCACTTCTTGGAGCAGCAAGAATCCATAAAAGTATAGAACTTGGGCAGAAAGCTGCAGAGATGCTTTTTGCTCTTGAGCCAGAGAAATCTGGTACCCATATTCTCCTTGCAAACATCTATGCATCAGCAGGGATGTGGGAAAATGTTGCTAAGGTTAGAAAGTTTATGAAAGACAGCCAGGTGAAGAAGGAGCCTGGAATGAGTTGGATTGAGGTCAAAGATAAGGTATTTACCTTCATTGTTGGAGATAGAAGTCATTCTAGAAGTGATGAAATATATGCGAAATTGGACCAGTTGAGTGACCTTCTATGTAAAGCTGGATATAGTCCCATCGTAGAGATTGATATACATAATGTGAACCAAAGTGAAAAGGAAAAGCTCTTATATCATCATAGCGAGAAACTTGCTGTAGCCTTTGGATTAATTGCTACACCACCTGGAGCCCCAATAAGAGTGAAGAAGAATATACGAGTTTGTGTTGACTGCCACACCTTTTTCAAATTTGTATGTAAGATTGTTTCAAGGGAAATTATTGTCAGAGATATTAATAGATTCCACCATTTTAAAGATGGATCATGTTCTTGTGGTGATTATTGGTAATATCATAAAAGTGGCTCATTCTTCCATTTTCACAAAATACAGTGATTGATTCTTTATCGTTACCACTGTAATTGTTTCATACCCATGTCAATTGAAACACTGACCGATGGTATAACTATTCACAAGTCAAATCTCTAATGTAATTGAGATTCATTATTTTCCCCCCTCTATTTCCACTGGTGTCACATTGGAGAAACTTGAGGGAAAAGGAAGAATAACGGAAGATGTTTGTTTGAGATGTGGTAGTTTAGATGTTTACCCTAAAATTGTGTTTATCGATTTCATGACTGCATAACCAACAAATTTAGGCCTTCAAATTGTTGATTCCTTTCATTTAATGGCCAGATGATTCACATAACATTTCTTGCTGACATGAGGATACTCAGGCATGATTTCCATTTCTGCTGAACTGATTCCTTTATTTTTTTTATAACAATAAGGGGCTGAGCCCCAAAGAAAGAAACAAACAGAAAAGAAAGGAAAACCAGAAAGTCTACAGATGCAAAGAAACAGCTACCCAGGGTCTATATCCCTGCTAGAGAGAGTTCCCTGGAGGTCTTGGTCAAATAATTGTGCAAGCTGCGATGACATGATTCGATGGTATCATGGTCAGTGAGACTTGGCTAACCAATTTATGCAGGCATTTGCCTCTCTCGGAATCCCTGTCATGTGATGAGTTCTTGTATCCTAGCCAATATACGCGGCTGACAAGCTGCATTGCTATCCGCAAGCATAGAGAAAACTTCAAATGTGTCTCCTTCTAGTTCCACTTTTCGAACGTCCATTTGCCATGCCATTTCCAGTCCTTTTATGATTCCCCAAAGCTCTGCCATGATTGGGGAACAAGCACCAATATACACGGCTGAACTGATTCTTTATCTCATTTGAATTATGTTATTTTTGGTGTTCAATGCTCTTTCTGATGTTGGGGGTGCCTCCTGCAGGAAATTGCTTGACTGGTTTCAATAGTTCAGTATTTGCTTATGGACTGGTTTCTTCCCATCTTCCTCACCATTTCGCGTCATTAAGTTCTTTTTAATTCTGCTGTGTTGCTGCAGTAGTGCTGTTAATTACGATTATATATTTTTCAAACTTATTAGATGGGAATGGAAAGACTTAGGGGTCCTGCCAAATTTTTGTCAGAAGAAAATATAACAAATGATAAACAATGCCTTACACCTCAAGCCTTTGAGCAGCTGTTTGCCGTAATAAATGAAGTAAGCTTTAAATTCTGTTTTGTTAAATTCTTTGAAGTTTATATGGAGTGGTTCATGATGTTTGCTGTTGAATGACACATATAACGTAATCTCATATCACATAATAGGAACCATTTCCTCTTCAATTAATTAAAAATGGAGTCCAGTCATAATTGTGTTTGTGGTGTTTAAGAATCATGAATAGCTCCGCAGGTCCTTCCTTCATATCTAGGTTCGACTGTGGGATGAAGCCAGACTCCTTCTCTGTCTATTTTTACAAAGGTGGGGTGGAATTGGACTACCTGGTTGCAAAACTTTCATAGGACAATTCTTTGGCCATCAAGTTTGGATTCCTTCTCTGAGTATCTATTAACTTCATAGGCAAATCAATTGAAAAATGTTTCACAGTTTAATTATATAAAACAGTTGCTTCGGATAATGGGGTAAGAAAATGTAACAAAGCAATAGATTATAAAACACAAGAAACCTGCAGGTGCAGCAGACACAGTTTCTAACTTTCTTGTCTCAAATTTTGGCGAGTCTCATTTATTAAAAATATTTAGGTAAGGTTGACATCTGATGCAATCTTACAAGCTAAGCGTGCCTCTACAAAAGAAGTAACTTGCAGCTTGGACTTCATATAAGAATTAAGTTAGTGTCCATGCAATGAATTTATATAGCAGATTGAGAAAATGGTATTGTTATTCCGCCATATGGGTGGAAATGTGGCTAAATCTGGCTAATGGAGTGATTCTTTGCATGAGGAAAAACTGGGGTGGAAGTGGTGGAAAAAACCATGCTATTGAGCATATTACAAAGAAACATGTTACCCTCTTTGCTTTAAAGCTTGGGACTATCAGTGCTGATTTGAAAGCATATGTGTTCTAATTAATATCAATATGGTTTACTTTACAGCAATCAGTTTTTATAATGATGGAGTACTATTATGCCCAAATGCAATAACTTTCAATACCTAATTAAATTAAGATTGAGTTCATGGTAGATATCTAATCGATGTATGTTGTCATGATAACATTTCTTGAAAAAAGAAAAAAAAAAAATTCTGACTTGGTATATGATCATACTCATTTAATTTAGTATAATTTTGATTATGGGTGTATCAATCTCTAGTCCATGAAAGCAGGGCTTGATGAACATTTAATAGCTTTTAAAAAATATTATATGTTTCTAGGTGAAAAGCCATTGCTTATCAATCTCTAGTTTTTGTTTCCTTCCTGCATGTTTTCTCTTTTACAAATCTTACTTATTCTTTTCTTTAACTATTGCATTTAGGATGCTAATTTGTTTTAGTTTCTAAAATTGGGGAGATATGGGATTCTGAAACTATATAAAGGAGGATGGTTGGTTTTCTCAATAGATTTGGCTCTTTAAAAGTAGGGTGTATTTTAGAGGAGAAAGTGCAAAGTTGTATCCTTTGATTAGAAAATCAAGGACATCTACATGCATTTCATCACAATCTTAAATGTTAATTTTTCAATTAACAGTTATACTCTGAACTTTATTTTCCTTTAAGTGCACTTTCCTTGTAGAGAAGCCAAATTTTTCTTGAATTACCCCATTCAGAACTAACAACTCACAGAAATGTTGGCTTATGAAAAACTCATGCTTAGATGCCTAAAAACAACAGGACCGTTACTGTTGTCATAGAAGAGATGGGAGAAGGCTGAAATCTATAAATTCAAGAATGGAAAAGAGAAGGCAACCTATGGATTGCATACAAAGACCAAGATGATGTTGATTAGGAATATTGTGAAATGAAAATCCCAAGTATGCTGAGCAAGTTTTTGAGTCTCTTGCTGCTAGCACTCTTGAATTTAGTTTACCTTACAATTCTATGACATAGGATGTATTGTTTCTATTTGCACTATGATAAAATTGTCATGTCTTTGTGTTTGAGAGAAAGAATTAGGAAAAATGAAAATGTTACGGCTATGTAAAACTTGCAAGTTTTACTAACAACTGATAGTAGTATTGGCTGGTTGGTTACCTTTTTGTTAAATTTTGGATGATAAGAAACAGGATTTACGTTTATACTGCAGTATATAGTCATCTATGTTTTTTTTGTATTGAGTTGTGAATTTTTCAGATACACTTGTTTTGACTAATGTCTTATTTGTTGAAGATTTTAATGTGAATCTAATATCTGTGACCAAACTGGCACAAGAGTCTAATTGTTGTGTGATTTTTCAGCAACAAGTATGCACCATCCAACACCTACCTACCATGGAGATGATTGGTTCAGCTAGGCTCAAGGGAGGACTATACCTTCTCACTCAAGACTGTGACCAGAGGAGTCCATCTTTAGATTCACATACCAGTTTTTCAAATACCATTTCTGCTCATACTTCTTTTTCTGTAAAGCCTATTTCATTAGATATTTGGCACCTACGTTTTGGCCATTGTTCTTCTTCTGTAATGAAAACAATGATGACACAATACTCTTTCATTTCTTGTAAAAACATAGATAAACCTTGTGATATGTGTCATTACTCAAAGCAAAGAAAGTTGCCTTTTCCTTCTAGTTCTACTGTTTCTGCCAATGCTTTTGACTTGGTGCATATAGATATTTGGGGACCATATTCTACCCCTTCCATTCATGGTCATCGTTACTTCCTTACCATTGTGGATGATTACACACGGTTTACTTGGGGTATCATGATGAAAACCAAATCTGAATCCCGAACACATATTCATTCTTTTGTTTCACTCATAGAAAACCAATTTCATGTTACTGTAAAGACTTTTAGGAGTGATAATGGTCAGGAGTTCATGATGCAAGATTTTTTTAATAAGAAAGGGATCATCCATCAACTATCATGTGTGGAATCTCCACAACAAAATAGTGTTGTGGAGAGGAAGCATCAACATATTCTAAACATGGCAAGGGGACTTCTTTTTCAATGAAATCTTCCTAAAAATCTTTGGTCTTACTGTGTCTCACATGCCATACATATCATAAATAGGCTTTCCTCAGCACAATTGCAAAATAAATCTCCTTATGAGTTGTTGTATAAAAGACCACCATTACTCATTCATCTTAGAGTCTTTGGTTGCTTGTGTTTTGCTTCCACACTCAAAGTTAATCGTTCCAAGTTTGATCCAAGAGCTAGAAAATGTATTTACATTGGCCATAAGGATGCTGTCAAAGGGTATGCCTTATATGATATTAACTCCAGAGAGGTTTTTCTTTCTAGGAATGTGGTCTTCTATGAAACACATTTTCCATTTTCTGATATTTGTACAGATGACCAACCTGCATCTTCTGACAAGCCCATAGTCTTTCCAACCGGTGGGACCACATCCTATGACTTACCCGTACTTGGTCTTGGTAATAAGACAATATATGAGCAGACTTCACATTCAGCAAATCCACACCATATCTCACCACACCAGATCTTACCTGACAGTCATATATCACGTATGTTACCCGACAGTCCCATATCATCTTTTCCTTCCAATCAGGACCAGTCTTTATCTACCAGACAAAGACAGTTACCTAACACAAGCATTAACCAACAGTTACCACAAGGACTTAGACGGTCTACAGGAGTGAGGAGGCAGCCACAACACTTGGCTGACTTTCAATGTAATATTTCTTCAGTTTTAGCTGATTCCACATCATCTGCAGGTACACCTTCTTCTACTCTTCATCCAATTTCTTCTACTGTTTCTTACAAAAATTGCTCAGCTTCATATACTTTCCTCTGTCATAACCTTAGTTCTTTTGTTGAGCCTACATCTTATAATCAAGCAATGCAATCTAATGAGTGGGTTTCAACCATG